TGTGAGGGTGTGGGTGTTTGTCCTCTTGCTTCACAGAAGGAGTGTAGGGCTATCTGCTGGCAAGGTTTGCCCGTCTGTCCCAAGTAAATGTCACAGAATAGTTCGTATTTCCCTTTGAGCTTGCTCAGAAGCTAGCTGAACAGTGTGGTGTGGGAAGGCTTTTATTGACTGCAGCTTGTTCTGGCATGTGTTTACAGTGCTAAATGAGGTGGGATCAGACCCACTGAACCTGGGAATATATATGATTTTAATTTTGTTGATTTTAAGAGCTTTGAGTCATTCCTTTAAAGAAAGAAGTTCTAGTAATGGGCGTGTGCTGCTCTTTTACAGTTGTTTGTTCTGCTCCATAATACAGCACAGTTAGTTTCATCTTCATCCTTACAGTTACCTACAGTACTGTTTACAAAAGGGATTTTTTTTCTCTTTTTTAAAGCTTTGGTTTATGACTTTCCAAGACTAGGTGTTTTGTCACACTATCTAAAACAATGTGAGTCCACTCCATTTTTCAAAATTCACTCAATTTTCAGATTTATCAACCCCGGTTTGGTAATGCCTTTTGAGTCTCAAATCAAATGTAAAGACAGGAATGATCTGAAGATGATCCGTTCATAGTTGTACTGTCTAGAGGCTGCAGCTGAGCTCCGGGTCCCTGTGTAGCAGGGATTACATTCACTTTTAGTGAGAGATGGTCATTGTCTTGGAGGTCTTAGACTCTAAACAGGCATGATGCTCAAAGGCAGAAAGCATCATTATCTCTGCTGTGCAGATACAGAACGTCATTTACTCTGTGGAGATGTTGATTTTATTTTTATGGCCTCCTCTCTTTTCTTCTTCTCTTCTTTCTGTGGGAAACAGGCCCCTCCATGTATAAGCATGCCTTACTGTTGAATACGTTTCCTTGACAAAGTGACTTGGCTGCTCCTTGTGTTTATCCACATGTCTAAGTGTTTGTTAAAACCTTGTGTTATCCCCTCCTTTCCTTCTCCCCCCTTTTTTTTTTTTTAATTTCAGTTCTCAGGATCTGTACTGTTTGGTTGTAAGGGTTTTCCTCCAACAGGGCAAATAGCAACCTCTGCACTGAAAACACAAGTAATGGTGTTATCAACAATTCTTCAGCTGCAAGCTACTGAAAGGAAAAATGCCATTGGGAATGATTGCATTAATGTCACTAGTAATGTCTTGAGCTGCTCTGCTCTGGATCGCTAATCAGATCCCAACTTTGCCAGTCCTGACTATTAAGCCTTTAAACAGTCTTAATCTTGTGAACCTCTTGTGGGAGAGGGGAGGGGAGAAAGAAGCAAGTAATAATGATCCCAGTTCCTCCTGGCAGCAGCAGAACCGTGCAGATGCAGAGATGAGAAGCTAAACTGGAGACTGTTGTCTTCTCAGCACTGCATCTTCATGGAGTAGGTATAGATATAATTTAATGTTTGTCCTATGCTCGCACTCTTCATTTTTTCCAAATTTTGCCTTTCTGAATGGAAATCACAAAAATCCAGATAAAACCACCATTTAACTACCAGACACTTGTATATAGGAGCAGTTTTCAGTAGTCGTCACAGTTTCCTTGCTTACAGACTAATGCTAGGGGGAAGTCCTTTCAAGGACAAGATGGGATACTATAAAGGCCCATGTAAGGTAGGAGAGTCATGGTTAAACTGCAAAAATTTCCCTACCAATTTTCAGCTTTGTCTGTATTCTCTAAAAACTCAAGGAAATCTGTGTTTGAGCATCCGGGAAAAAAAATGCTTGTTCCACCCTGCAGTTGGCATAGTGGTCTTGAGAGTATTGGTGATGTTTTCTGCTCTGCATTTATTTCTGACATAATGTCTGCAGAATTGTAAAAGGATCTGCTTTCATGTTGTTTGTTGTGAAGTGAGGAAGAAAAGGAACTAGAGGAGGCTGAGAAAATTTGGAAATGCAAGAGAGGAAGAGGGACTCCCGTTTATTTCAGCCAGGTCATGGCATAAAGTCCATACCGTGGAGTGTGTGAAGCTGTGCTCACCAGGTACAGGCACTGCTTTTTTTTAGCAGCTTCTGGAGCTCAAGAGAGGAGAAAACAGGGAAGAGATCAAGGTCGGAGGCTGGGGTTCTGCTTAAAGAAGCGCCTAATCCAAGATGGACTCTGCCTCCCTGGGAATCATTTCTGGAGGATCATGCTGAAGGGATTGTGGCAGGATACTTGCAAGACACTGTAATCTTTTTTTGCCACAGATCCTAAACTAAAGGCAACCTAAACAAGCAAAGCCTGGTTTTGTTAAAGCCTGAAATGGCTGGCACGCCAGGCATCACGGCATAAAGGTTCTCAAAGGGTCTGGATGTAGGGGTGAAGGACTGCAACCCAGCAGCACGTGCCTGTGCTGGGAGACCTTTGGTCCTCAGCCTGTGGTTTTCCCTGTCTCCTCCTTTCCCAGACAGGTTTGCAGGATGGAGTTTCTCCTTTGTTTCCTTCCAGAAAAGCTGCCGTTGCCTGTCCACTAGAGGCATTCACAGCACAAGGTGTGGGCTCTGCCACTTTTATGGTGATGCATAAAGGGTGTTTCTCTGCTAGTGTGTCAGGCTACAAGCAGGCAGACGTGCATTGCATGGAGCAGTCCATTCAGTTGTTGCACAAAGATGACTAATAGCAAATACTTGACTGTTTTTGTCCCAAGTGACAGCAATGAGATTTTTCCAGTCCTGAGGATCTGAATAAACAGAGTAGGTTTTGGGCTGAGCATAGGTTAGACCAAGCCCCATTTACGTCAGAGCTCATTACTGCTTTGGAGCTGCAGCAGCAATATTGTGATTACTAATGAGTCTCTCTAAATTACTCCATCTGCTCCTTCCTTATTTCCTATCACAAACATACACACTCTGCGCAGGAAGGGTGGAAAGACGTTGAACGGTCCATTGCATCTTCTGCGCCTTACATCTTTTTGTCTGTGTCCATTTCCAGGGCCCAAAGGGAGAAAATGTTGGTTCGATCACTCAGCCTCTTCCCAGCAGCTACTTGATTTTCAGAGCAGCCTCCGAATCAGATGGTAAGTTTTGGTCTTCGTTTGCTTTCTCCAGATTGCATAGTCTGTGCTAGTTAAGAAAATAGGTTGATACAAAAAAAATTGGTATGTAAAGGAAAAAATGGCAGCTCACCCAGCTTGAGATGGGTTCATTAGCAACGGTCAGAATAGGTCAAGCAGACTACAGGCACATTTCATTCCTCACTGAACAGTCACCTTTCTGGCCATGTGTGTGGAGGAATGACCTAGGCTTGCAGCTGGGGAAAAAACACTAAGTCAGTATTACTAAAGGATGAAAGGAGTTGATCCCAAAATTGGGGCAAGAGGGGGGCTTAACTGTTTCCTCAGTTCAGTGGAGACTTCAGTTGGTTATCTGCCTATGTCTTAAACTAGGTAGGGATCTGTTGGAGGAAAATGACATAGTGATATTGAAGAACTGTTGATAGGTGGCTTGGAACCACCAGAATTCTCCTGTAAGCTTGCTGTACCATGGTTTACAGTATAGCAGGCCCAGATGCTGGTGACTCCACATGTAAAATAACATTCTGGGAATTCACAAAACTATGGAAGGTAAATTTAGGTCAATATAGAACAGGCATGCCAGCTTGCCATGTGAAAATCTCTATAAATGACTTTAGCAGACCTAAAATATCAGTGATTTATAAGTAAATAAGAAGATTAAAACCATGTTTTCATTCCATTTGACCTTCAGACTACTGTAGAATTTTTTTGCCGTAGTACATTAACCCAGGCTGTTCATTTTGTGGATATTTTTCACATACCCCACCAAGGGTGCTCATGTAGCTGATGTGCTCCTTTGGGTCTCATCAAGAGTAACTTTAAGGACACAAGGATTTTTTATGGAGCAGAGTGGGCTTTGAAAGCAGTGTCCTTCTGATCCAGTGATTAAGTTTTACATACTCCTAAAGGCTAGAAATGGGATAATGCCAAATGCACTTTTGACATGGCACTTAGAATAGGAGGAAACCTTCTTTCATTACAGGCTTGGCATGCTGTTCTTCCTACTACTGTGCAAAGAGGGCTGTTCATAGTGAGGGATACCATCTCAACACTGAAAGCTGCTTGCAGACGCCAGTGTAGTAAAATGATATGAAAATAAGTGGAACTTGTCTAGAGCTGAAGAAGCACATCTATTTCTTTGAATATTATGCTTCTGTAGCTTACAGAACAGTACATCTTATTTGTGTAAAGGAATACAGGATTCCAACCTGGCTCCGAACATCACCTGTCTAGAAAGGGATAGATTGATACAATAGTCTCTTGGGGAAAAAAAGCATTGTTGGGGTACAGCTGCTAAATTACAGGCATTTCAAACCTTGGTTATACATACAGCCCTCAGAATAGACATGTGGAACAGTCCCACAGAGTTCTTAGGCAACCAAATAGCTTCAACAACTGTCTGTCAATCCAGCTTTTCTAAATTATTATTTCCTTAGAGATCCATGTAATTTGTCTTTCCATCAATTTAATTAGAAAATGCGCATAGGGACCAATATGGTCATTGCATGTGTTCAAGACAAATTGCTATCTTATAAAATACCTTTTTTTGTGGCATTTTGGCTATCTTCTAAATGAAAACTTTCATTCTGGTGGAAACCTGATGATTAAAGCTTAAAGCCTGCCTGGCAAAGAGACCTGTGGCTGAACTTCTACTCTTTCTCTTTACGACGACTGCCATAGGCCAGTTATGTGGAGTAGAATAGCTTTAGATTTGTTCTTACTAGCCTTACCCATAAAGGCTCCCAAGCTAGCAATAGCTCCCAAGAGGTAAGACCTTTCTAGCTGTGATCTCTCTGTCTGGGTCATACACCACATGCTGAAAAAGCACAAAAGGGACCATATCTGGCACATGAGAATTTTCAATATTTAAATGCCTGTGGGAAGCTTTCTGCCCAGTGAATTATTACATGTCTCTGGTATCATAAGAGCTTAAAATAGTGAGTCACTGGAACATATTTTTAAAGCCAAGATATTGGCTAAGATTCTTGGGAAGTGTGCAGAGGCCAGGCAGATCAAAGTAGAGTTACTTTAGGATTTAGTATGATTTTCCTTTACTTTGCTGCTTCTCTACAGTAGGGTCTTAAGGTTAGATGGAAAGCTAATGTGGTGAAGAGAAGGAGGAGGAACTGCGATACCTCTCAATCAAATATCATAAATGTGTACACATTATGCCTGGTAGATCCTGAGAGTCTGAGGAGGTGACCATGGCAGCTGATGTGAAACTTTGGTATCTGTCCACTTAGCAGTGGACTTCACAAAAAAAACCAAACTGATATAGTATTGCACCAGAAATACTAGCATGAAAAATGGTGTAATTTTCAGCTGAATTAGGGTCTTTGACTCTACAGCTGAGGTCAGTGAGCTGTGAGAAGTGGCTGTACCTTGTGCAGGAAAGGAGGGATGTGAATCTGCAGACAAGAGGGAAGAACAGCTCGTACACTCAGGCTCGCCTCCTTCCCAAACAGAAGAGCTGTCCTGGCATGGTGACTGCTATGTACTTGTTTGTTAGTTAGCCTTCATGGCGGCTGTTTGGGGGTATCTGCTCCATTGAGCAGTGTAGACGTGCTGACAAATGGCCAAACACATGGGTGTCACACTCGGAGGTGAGTGACTTGGAAACGGTAATAATGTCAGTAGGTGGTGTAAAACATATGCAGGCAAGGACACAAGGAATAGAAACTGTTAGGCTTAAAGAGATCAGTATAAACTGCAGCAAATTAAGGCTTATACTTTGCAATTAATACAATTTGATTTTAAGCCCAGAAGACACCACTCTCTGAAATGGTTGCAGAATGTCATATAGCTTTACCTATTGTAAAGAGGTATCTCCAAGAGGGTGTACCTGAGTTGGTTTCAGTTCTTTAATGCACTGAACAAACATAGAGGATGCAGTTATGGTCAAGAGAGACAGGAGATTTAGGTAAAATGAACTAAGCTAGCTGACACAAATGGGGCAGGTGGAATCTGTTCTCTTGCATAATGTTAGCTTATATTTGTAGTATCCTCCATAGATGCAATATTGTGTGAATCTACAGCATCTCTGAGGAGGTGTCCTGACCATGTTCTTCATAACACAGTCTCCCATGTTAGTAGTGGAAATGAACCACAGAGCATTTGGCAAATTTAACAGCAATTCATGGAGGCCTCTGACTTGCTGAGGAATATTGAGTTGCAGCATATGTTAGATGCACAGTTCTGCTATCCAGGAAACTGTATCATCATCATCAGCTACATGGCCTACTTTTTCTCTCAGCATTTCAGAATCCCTTTTTTTCCCCTCTGCTATACCATCTGTGACAGACTGTTGGTAGGATTTAAGGTCTTGACTTCTGGATAGCCTGCAGAACCACCGCCAAGCTACAGTAAATTTCATATTCACAGACTGCAGCAGCAGTCTGCTTTGTGATGTGTTTTAAAGACATCTGGAAGGTCATGTCAGCCTACAGGGCTCAACCTCTATAAACACAGGGTCTTTCTTTCTTACCAGTTTCAGAAAAGAAAATTGCTTTTTCCAAACCAGTGGCTGTGCATGCATTTCGGATTTATGCTGATGAGTGGGTTAGCAGTGGTAGTTTAATCCTGTCCTGAGCTTCCTGCCTGGACCATTCTGGGGCTGCCCCTGAGATCTTCAAACCAGTGCCCCGGACCTCCTAAGCGTTTTGAGTCACCTGCTTAAATCTCATTGCAGACCTCCGCCTTGCCACCAAAGGGGTTACTAGGGCAATTCAAAGTGGCAGATTACCAAGGGTTAAAGGCTTAACAGTAGAACCACACTTACATTTTTTTCCTTATGTCTGTCCTCGCCTTCAGGCATGCTTTGGGTAGTCTCCATTGCTTGATGTGGATGGAGTTGTGTGGAAATCTTGATGGTCTGGCTTACAGTGGTGGTGTTTCTTTGCTAGGCATCTAGCCCTTCCCCTAAAACTGATGCTCTCATCTGGGGAGGAAATTAGATTACTAAAGTAAGGGTCATGCACAGAAGCAATGAACCAGGAGGAAGATTGCAATTTGAAACCAAGTTCACAATGAAATATATCACTGGATCCTGGCAGTACTGGAAAAAATAGAAGTTACCTTCTTAGCTATATGTTTGCTCTTCATATTCCTTAGACCTTTCACAGCAGTTTAAAATCCAGGCATTTGCAACTAGACTTCATTTAGCTTGGTGCATAAATTGCACCTGCAGCTAACTGAGAGATTGCATCCTTGCATCTTGACAGTCAAAGTGTAAGAAGTAATGCACGTGGGCACCCAAGTGGTACAACAAAATAAGCAGTCAGCTGAATATGATGACCTTAATGTTCACTGACTGAACCAAATCAGCCTCTTCCTCATCATTTGTGATTTGTGTGCACTTGAGCAAGAATTCATCATTTCCAGGTGACAGTCTACTTCAGGTTGATTTTTAACAGCGTCTGTCTTGTAACTGTAAGGCACGAGGCCAAAAGCTGGATGACTTTAATAATTCAAGGAGAATAATATTCCCTTAGTGATGCCTCACTGGGGGAATGCATGGTTACTAGGTGTGAGGCTTTTGAAGTCTTAGTTGGCAAGAGATTCATTCCAGCTGTTCTGTAGCTACAAGAATGCAATGGGAAAAAAGCATAGTCCCAGACTGAGATTTCAGTGTGCAACGATGTGTTTCCATCTCAAGCAGATTTGTGTTATTGGTGAGTGCTGAGAGAACATTGGCTGGCTCCTCTGATCAGCTGTTGCAAAATGTGGCAGATAGACTTGGCACGTCAAATTATGAGTTGTTCTAGGTGAATGATGGTAATAGCTTAGTGTTTTCAATACTGCCTTTTTTTTCTGTGGGATATTGTAGTAATTTTAGATCTGTTTGAAACCTCGAACAGTCTCAAGTTATTCCTTGAACTGAACCTAGGTTAGCAGCATAAGCAACCTTTGGTTGTTTTGTGGTTTTTTTTTCCAAGGGGGAGAAGAAATGGTTTTTGTCACTTGGTTTTAGTTGTTCTTTTTGTCTGTGAAAAAAAGAGTTGGTGTGAGTGCATGCCTGCTCCTGTTCAGCCTCCAGGCTTCTGCATGGTGCCAGCAGTGCCCTGTGGACCCAGGAAGTGTCCTGCAAGGAGCTATAGTGAGTCCCATTTGCACAGCTGTACTGCAGTAGTCATCTCAAAGGACCACAAGGTGCTTTTCCAGCCTGCTGAGCCAAAAGGCCTGGAGAAAGCTGCAAAACATATGTGGGATGCATGTTTGGCTTTCTTTTTGCAAAATGAAGGCAACACATGTCCTTTATTAGCTTATTTTTCCCAAACCTTTCAAGAAGGAAGGAACTTTGGAACCCAGCTGTGTTTAACTGATTTTTCAAAGAGTTTCCTTTTTCAGATTGTCACTGATGACTGTCGTCATTTTACTCTAAACACATATAACAGACAAAAAAGGTTACAGGCCTACTCAGGGGAGACATCTCTTTTTCATCTTTTTTTTTTTTTTTTCAGTGAGCACAGCTGAGTGATGTGCAGATGCACTCTGACATCCCACTTTCCTGGGACATCTGTCACTTGCCAAATGCTGTGATCATCCTTTGCTAAAGTGATGTAGGGAATGGATATTGAAACCAGTGATCAGGAGAGAGGCTGCTACAAAAGAGAGCAGGAACCCAAGCTAGTGCTAGCACTCTGGTAGGACATCTGCTTTTGGCACTTTAGGAACAGCCTTGTCAAAGAGTCTCTTTCCCTGTTGTTCCTGAAGGGAGCCAAAGGTGGCTGGGCAACCCACCCACCTGATCAGTTCAGGTGCCGAAAGATGGGTGATGTGAAATGTCCTCCTTGTGCCAGCTGCCAGTATGAGTGATGTAGCCAGCTTAACTTTGCACATCAGAGTTGGGGATCTTCTCTGCACGGAGTGTCATTTCTCCCTGTTACTGTCCTCACTGAGAACTCTGTTAGCTTGGATGAAATATTTCTGAGTTTTGTAATCCCTTCTATGTGGCTTGTGAGATATATGGGAGCGTTATGTGTAGATGGACTATTTTACGCTCTCCCTCTTTCATCCTTCCACCTCCGCAGCCCAGGTAAAAGCCAGAGCTTACTCTGTGGGCTGCCCCCTGGAAGTCAGTGACAAAATACTAAATATAATGAAGAATGGGTAAAGCTCAGAAATAACATTTGAAAGGAAATATTTAGTTCACAGCTCCCAAGCAGAAGGAGGTAATGTAGGTGTTTTTGAGACAACATGATCTCTGCAGAAATTGTCCAAAAGTAATCATTGCGGTGGATAGAGTAATATATCATTTGATATGAAAAAAGCTTAAAACCCTATGGGGAGATTCTGCCATAGGCTGACAATATGCTCTTGGGTTTTCCTTTAGAATTTAAACATGTACCTGTTTTAAGCCACAATTTGTGGAAAATTATAACTGATAATTGATTGCAGTGTTTTACATCGCAGCTTTAAAAACCTCAAACCTTCTGAAAGAATACCATTGTAACTCCTTCGCAGCTCTTTTTTGCTTCCTTTATATGCATCACGCTGGGCTGCCATTCCTCTCTGAAGGAACCCACATTTTGCATCCTTCTCTGATCTAATTACCTTGCATACAAAAAACCCCGCCTTGAGCCAACCACTCAAAATTAGAAAATGTGAGAATTAAGGTAACCGTGAAGCCTTCATGCAGACTACCGTCATCATAGATGACAGCCTTTAATTACGTGACCACATACTTTTTTCCCCTTCTGCAGTTCCTGAGGGAGTGAGTAGACTTGTCAGGTAAGCAATTAAGTAATCCAAATTGCTAGCATTTTTGTATTATTTTCACAATAAAGAAGAATATTACTCAATAGCAAGATCACTCAAATGTAAAAACATTTCGTGTAGGCCTTTAGCAAGGAAACAGGTTTATCTTGTGTGCAATCCCCGAAATTGAGAGGGTATAATTTTACGGTGTTATGCTGCAATTAACACACTGTTGACTTGCAGACAATGTAACCTTTTAATTTGCAGCGGAAATCCCATATTTTACGTCTGGTTTTGTGGCATATATTTGTTTGGATTCACAGCACCACCTGATTGCTGAAGGCCCATTTCTTAGCCCTGGGATGCTGTGCATCCCTTGAATTCAATTTCTGTTAGAAATGAAAACAAGGGAGTACACTGGTGCCATTTCTGTGTTCTGCAGGACACAAATAATGCTGAATTCTAATGCATAGCAAGTTCATCTAAAGCATTGTGTCTCTGCCTTGGAATATTACAAAGATATTTAATTTATTTTTTTTTTTAATTTAGGCTCCTTGAATAAGGTTTCAAAAAAGATTCAATTTACTTTTTACCCCTTCCAAGGAGTTATCTAAAGAGATAAAAAACCTGGGTATGTTATGTAGAACTTTCCTCTGGTAATCTGGTGGATCCCACAGGTTTGACCAAGACTGTACACTCACGTTAGTGCCAGTGAACACCTGTGGTGGTGGTGGCAGAGGGGTAAGAGAGCTTCTGCGTGGTCGCGGCCAGCGTGGCCTGCTCTGCCTGTAGCCCCAGGGAGGGGTGGGCCACAGGGGCACAGTAGGGGAGATGGTGGAGGGAGACTTTGGGGTCACCATTGCCACCCTTGTTAGAAAGCATAAACGTAGCCAGGGCATTGCCATAACTGTCATAAGATAATGTTTTTACATGAGTGCTGTGGGGAGCTGAGGAGCTGACCTTCCTTACTGCTCCAAAGTGCTCGTGCTGCTACTAATCAAGCTACCTGTCAAAGCACCTGATTTTACAAGACCATTGAATATAAAAATATCTTGCCTTATGCAGCATTTCCAAATGTCAAATCATGCAGTCCTCACTCTGCAGAACTGGAAAAGAAAAGCAAAGGTAAAGAGAGAGGAAAGTTAAAGGAGGTGAGCTTAAGCAGGACTGTGCTCCTTTGTATGGAATCGCCTGAAACAGGTTTTCATCTTGATGGGTTTGGGGAGAGGGGATATGTAGGAGGGAGTGGATTTCTGCTCAGCGCAGCCGTTAACTCTAATGGGTTATCCATGCAAATCCTCCACATGGCGAGAAGGGAATAAATCTCTGCGTGTAAAGCCTTAATGCAAGAATATTTGTTAAATACAAAATAGTGTGAAATCAATTCCAACAGCGTTCAACCTTCCTAATCTTTTATTAACCATTATGTGTGATTTTATTATTAAATCATAAGCTGATGCTGAAGGAATTTATGGGATGAAATTAGAATAAATGACTGGGTTCTGTGGTGTTTGTGGCTCAGTGTTCAAGTGCAATTCTACAACGTTTTGGGGTTTTTTTTCTCTTTTACTGATTACAGCTTTGTATCAAAGCAAGCACTGAAAGTTACTCAAATTTGGAAACATTTTTTTATATACATATGATCTAGATTCTTTTTTTAAATGCTTGTTGATCTTCTTAGACAGCCAAATTTTGGTCATATCAAAACTGATGGGTATTCTGCTCAAGAGAACAGCAGGATCCCAGTGAGATTTATGCATATGCTTGATGCTAAGTGCGTGATAGAATTGAATGTAATGGAAGCATTTCCCAAATGGGACCTAGGAATGAGTGTGGTCCAGGGAAAACCTGTTTGTAGCGCTCGCAATTGCTATCGCAGACTCCTTTTGTTTTCTTCACTGCCTCTCAAGCACACTTCTAATTATTGCAAAATATATTCTGAGGAGTGTAATGAAGAGCTCTGTTTTACATGCTTGAAATTAGAGGATAACTCCCTTGATACCTCAATTCTTGAATGTTCAGCCAATTTGCAGGTGTCCTGGCCTCATTAATGGCTGCACTACAGAAGCAGCCTATTTTCAGGTGTTCCAAGAATACGGTGTCTCCAGCATTGCGGTGGTTAGGCTTTAACACTAACAGACAGCTTTGTAGACTTGTATGGATCATTGCAAAAGGACCCAAGGGTCCGTTTGGATTCCTGTGCTTTTCGTTTGCTGCCTGCCTGTGGGACCTACGCAGGCCTTAAGAAAATCCAGTGAGGCTGTGCATAGGATAACTGCAGTTTGTCTTGTCTCTGTGCCATGGTTACAGTTTCTGGGATTTGCAAAGTGGACCCTTCAGGTAAAGATCTTTTGTGACAAGATAGGAAAAACTGATGCTCCACCCAGATTATCTGATGGATGGGGCAGGGAGAGGGAATGGATAAAAGGGAAAAAATACAGAGAAAGAGGAAAAATAAACAGCCAGACAAGCAACTCCCTCTAGTCTTAATCACTCTGGCAAGTATTGATCATCCTGGCTCTTGTTTGGAATGATTGTAATTGCAGCACTACACCCTGTGTGGGAACCCCGAGACGGCTTGTAGTTCAGTGACCCCACACCAAGCAGTGGCCTCTCCTACACATATACCTGTGCCTCAGTATCTCCCTGCCATTGGGTAGTGTGTGTGATGCAGAGGCCAAATGCTGAATGGGTTTTTGGGGTGTATTACTTGCAGACATGAGCTGTGAGCTGGTTTGAAAGCACTGTACCTGTACGCATTTCCTGCATCTCAGACAAAATCAGAAAGGGGCAAAAGGGGACGTGAACAGGTTGTGGGAGATCAGAGGAAGAGATGCTGTTAGGGAAGGGGAAGTTGGGGTGAGCTTCCCACTGTATTACCTATGCAGATGTATCACTCATGCAGCCACTAAAACACACCATTTCTGGCAAGACAACCTAGGAATTATATATATGAAAAACAGATTATTGTACACAGTGACTTCCTGAATTATAATGAGCTTTACTCCCACACAAGAAGCTTTTAAGAAGCAATGCATGAATTGTGTTATTTATTCTCCTGTGCTTAAATAATTCCTTTTGTTTCCACAGGCCGATGCTGGCTGGATGCTTTGGAACTTGCCCTGCGTTGCTCCAGCCTCTTCCGGCTCAGTGCCTCCAAGCAGGGAAAGGATGGAGAAATGAACTGCTCGAGCGATTCTGCGCATGCGGGGCTCAACCACCTCTTGCACACGAGCACTATCTCAGACCAGGAGTTCTTCCAGTAAGATGGGGCTATCACTTCTTAATGCACAGAGAGGTGTTGTGTGGCTCACACTTGGTCGTTCTTTTAACTTTAGCACAATCTAGCCAGAGTCCACTAAGGACTGGGGAGAAGGGATATATAGGAGGGATATGTTTATGTAAGTAAACATATGTAGATATGTTTAAAAACCAGCCTGTATGTTCTTCTGCTGCATCCAACACTAATATATAGTTTTGGTGCCTATGAGGTTTGTTGTCAACTAATGCTTGAGCACGCAGACTGGGGGGAACTTCAGCTGTGTTTGTGTGTACATAAACAATTTTTTTATGTCCCCTGCTTGGACCAAAATGCTGTCTGGAGATGCTGGCATGAAAAATGGCTTGCCTGAGTAAAGACTGTGGAATCTAGCTACTAGAGTAGACCTGTGGTTACACAGACACAATCACTAACAATGTCTGTCTGTTGGCTAGCACATATGGCTCTGTGATCTATTTTTTAATAATGCGTTCTCTTTTCTAATAATACTGTGTCATAGTCAGCAGAGTGCACACACTGCATCCTTAGTTTTATAATTGCTTTCTCTCTCTACAGGGGTTTTGAGTGGTTTCCAATTTCTTCCTTGATGCATCAGATAAATTTTTACATAAGGGAAAAAAGTCCCCACAGCCTTCTTTCTATTCATATTCCTAGTATTACTGCAGTATTTTGAAGCAACTCAGATCAAAGCTCTGCAAGCATTAAAAAACCCCAGGCCTTATCTGTTGCTTATAGCTAAATAGGCAGCTTTAAAAATCCCTCTGGTACAGACACTTGGCCCTTGGAGTGGGGACTGGGAGATGTAGTGTCTATTTCTAGTTCTGCTGGTACGAATGTGAGTCTTAGGGCTCATAGCAATGCACCATTGGTTACACAGTTTTTAGGGTAGCGATTCTTGCAGTCTGCAAAGATGATGCCTTGCATAGTGGGGCCCCACCTTCAAGTGTTTTTCTTAGGCTCTGTTACAGTAATAGCAGGGATCTGAGTCCTCTTCAGAGTGTTGAGGTATCTCTGGTCCCATGGGACCAAAGGGTTGGCAGCGCTTTGGTCTGCCCTTTGCTCGGAAAGGTTCTGGTATTCCCAGCATATGTTCTCCAGTTCTGCTGTTTGGGTTTTTAGGTAGAGTTTGAAGAAGAGCTTTACTGAAGGGCAATGGGGAGAAGGAAATCTGATGTGTTACCAGGGCATGTGCCTGCCCTAGTTCTTGTGCAAATAATTCTACTGTTCTTGGGCTTCTTCCATAGTATTTTGCTTTCTGATTTCTTTGTGCATTAGAGAGAGTCTTATAATTCTGTGCTCACTGTGATAATGAATCCAGGAATGCAGCGGACTTGTTTTTCAGCTCATGGGTGTGTGTACACAAATCCAATATTAAAATGGAGCCTGTGGCATTGAGAACATTCAGACAGACCCATGGCTACTGTAAGGAAGTGCAGAAGATAGAATTAAAACTGTATTAAAGCATTTCTTCAAACTATGATGCTTAGATGATGCCTCTGTTTCACCTTTTAGTTGTTCAACATTAGAAGTCCTCTCGAATTATGGGGCTCAGCAGTGGCACATGCGGCAGAGTCAGCAGGACAGGGTACCCACAATTGGAATCAGATTTTCCTGACAGGCTCAGATTTTAGCTAAGTCTGGTTCAAGCAGGGTGTTCAGCATCTGGTTGTCTGGACAATACACTCGCCTTTTTGAGTCCTACCACTGGTTTTAATGTGTACCCAGACTTACTCCACTGCTTAAAGCCTACAGGAGTTTGATGCCTGTGGGACAGGGGGATGACTTGCTGTTGTCCGTGGAGGAATAAAGAACATTTAAACAAGGGAGAATGCAAAATCAAAACTGTGCATGTGCTGAGCAAAGGGGTTTTGGTTCGCCACTGACAGTGACTTCCTCATAGGGACTCAATCATTCTAATTAAATGCCTTCCCTACAGGGAATCTTACCAATTAAATCGGCACGCTGTTGTTAGGGGGCCAGTTAATTACATTTAACTCTATCTTCAAATTAGCCAAACTACTCTGTCAAGAAAAGAAAAAGAAAAGGGAGATGATGGATATTATAGGGAGAACAAAACCCAAGGGAGCTGGCAAAGGCGAATCTTCCATTGAGCCAAAGTTACATTTGTCTGCTGGCTGCATTGCTCCTTTCCTGCTGGGACAGAAGTCAAGATTATACAGTGATTTTAAAATCTGTGTCTTTAGTAGCGTATGAAAATGAGAGGGAGAGAACTGTGCAAGTGAATCAAAGGCTAAAGTACTGTGTAAATCTGTGATTTTAGACAAGAGGCCTTTAGGGCATCAGGCATTCTTCTTTTTAATATGAAGTTGTATTTCTTGTGGCTTCCATGTCTTATCTCCAGCAACCCCAAGAATCTGGCTGGTTTACTTGTTTCACAAGAGCGAAAGGGATTTTTTTTTTTTTTTTTTTTGCTTTGTATAGCAGAGGGGTATCAAACCCAAAGAAGTCCTGGTCACTGGCTTTTGGAATGCCCCTAGAGATTAAAGCACTGGTATAAGACAGCTCCAATATGCTGAAACAGTAAATTAGCTGTGAAAAATGCCAAGTTATTCATGTTCATGGTGGAAATCAAGTGTTGACTTTCAGCATAGTCAGTCCCGCCCAGCTTTTAAAGCCTGGTCCAAATCCCATTGGAAGCCCTTGGGGAGTCTTTGCATTGATTTTAGTTCAAGCTCATGGCATGGCTTTTGTTTTTAGCATATTATACGTATTCAGTGATGATTCTCTTTGGAGGAATAGAAGAGCCTGGCTCCACTTCATCATCTCAAATTCGTTCCTCAGAATGAGGAGCATCTGTTTTCCCTTTCATTCCCCAGAGTGGCTCCTTAGCTCTGGATGTGTTAAGTCTTGCCTCTTTTGTGGCTGGAGGGTAATCAGTGCACAGTTGAGTGGGATTTCATGTGAATTGAATTCCCTCTTGGACTAAATCTGAAATCCTTAAAAAACAATGGGGGGGAGCAGAGGAAACTAAGAAAAGAGTAATTTGCTCCACTGAATCTTCAAATATTTCCCAAATGTGAGGCAGGTGACACTGAAAAACACTTGCTCTTCTTGGGGGTTGGACTAGATGATCTCCAAAGGTCCCTTCCAACCCTAACCATTCTGTGAATTCTGTGAATTCTTACAAATGCAAAATAGAAAAAAGTGCTACTTCTCAGTCATGAACCATAAGCCTTGTAAGGAACTGTTCTTTCCAGCATTTTTACCCCATGAAGAAGACTTTCACTAGGTAAGGGAGCACAGCAACCACAGAAAAACACATAATTAGCTGATCATTGGAAAAATAAGAAATAAATTAGGTATTTAAATGATCAGCAACTAATAACTTTCCAGACCTATCATCCAGGAAGTATCTGTGCTGAGGAATCATGGGATAATCTCTCTAGACAGCCCTCTCCTCATCTTTTTCTCTTTTATTATCTTAAACTCAGGTATGTGCTATATACTCCATGCTTCCAATGTATTTGGTTATCAGTCATTACACTTTCTGGATGCTAGCTAAAAAAAAGAAATAACATGCCGGCACTAGAATGTCGAAGACATGTAATGTCTAATAGCAAATTGTTAGTGCTGGAGTATAGTGGCCATTGAATGATTTATGATCTTAGTCATATTTATGATCTTAGTCCTATTTTACAGTAAAACTGTAAATTAAAAAAAAAAACTTGTAGTTTATATAGGTACACACATAAACATATATGCATACATACATATATATATACAAATGGAATTAAAAGAAAGATTTTCTGAAGGCACAGAAAGCTGTAGAGGACACTTTCAAAAGAACTCTGGAAACTGAGCTTCTCCAGATGCTGAGGTGTAACTGTCACAATGTGGCTTGCTTGGCGTGTTAAAAATTATGAGCTTGCTTCAGTGCATAGTTGGAAGTTGAGATCCTTTGAAAAGCTGATGCCAGTTTTGTGTTCTGACTCTTCTGTTGTTTTTTTTTAACCTGGCTCTAACTAGCAATGCCTAATTATCTTTAATAAAAAAAAAAAAGAGAGAGGGAGAACAAGGGATGGGAACTTTCAGCATTAATATATAATCAAAATTGGAAAATGCTCAGAATGGCCTGAGAAAAGGCCCATCATGGACAGACTTCAAGCTTGGCAGAACATTCCTATGTACTGAGGAGTGATATCTTGCTTTGAGAGGGAGATGGACTACAGGAAGTAAAAAAACTCATCAAGATCCACGGCCCATTTAGATCCTCTGAAACTCCTTGTATAGCTGGAAATCCTTCCTTACTGTTCTATCCAAGAGCAATTTTGCATGAGGACTTGGGTAAGAAATTTTCAGAGGAAGGTCAAGCTGAGAAGGTCAGCACCTGAGAGCTAGGCTAGGCCATGAAAGAGGTGATGTGTGTGTGAAGACATGTATGAATAGGAAAAACTGAAGCCCATGCTAAATATCACATGAAAAAAATGGCATTTAGTGAAAACTTTTCAGTGTCTGACCTCTGGCCCATCTAATTATGTTTGCCATCTGTCGTATGATTTGCATCTGCTTTTTCAAATGGAGATTCTATAGGCTACTTGAGAGTGAATCATTGGCTTTCTCCTCATTCTCTAAAGCCTGGATCACTAGCATGAAGCTTGCTACTCCTTCCATGCTTTACCTTGGATGCTGTTATAATCTGGGTATTCTTCTTACATGTAATTGTCCGGTCCGTGCTTCTTCCACACAGCATTATCTGGGGGAAGCACATTCCCTGGGTTAGCTTGGGGGGAGTATGGGGTGGGGTGTGTGAAAATACTTGCTTCTCTTGATTTTTAAATTTGTCTTTTCTAGTGTAGGGCTGATTTAGGACCACAATCTGTTGAAATAAAGTAACAGTAGTACTGAAAAGAAAATGTATCCCATAATGTCATATTTTTCCCATATGCTACAATCCACTGATTTGCATCTGTAAAGGGTAAAATCTCTCCTGATTGACGCTTCAGTTCTCTAATCAGCAGTGTAGTTAGTGTGTGCTCTGTATCCCTCCGGTATGGAGACTCCCATCCAGAGACAGCAGCAATTCTGCGTAAGGATGGGTAAGTGGAGCTATGTGGCAGATTTTGAAAAGTGCAGTTGGGAGGGGAGAATTTTGATGGAAAATATCTCACTGTTTCTGTGATAAAAACCCTGCTATTCAGGAAATCAATGTCTTACACTCTCTGGGGCTGCACACCCTATTTTGAGTCCTAGGGCATGTTTTTACCTTATCTAAAATGTCTTAAGTAATCTGGCTTCATAAATCAAAAAGCAAGTAATGAACTGTGTGTTGCAGTTTGAATGAATCAGCCCTGGAGAACCACCACCATTTGGAAAATGATGCTTTTTCGGACAAGTCCGAGAGAGACAACGTAGAAGAGTCGGAGAATGAAGCGCATGAAAACAGCCGGAAGACGAATGAAAGCGAGAGCGATCAGTCAGAAATCCATGGAGAGGTCTCTCCGGGAAGGAAAGGGACGACTTATATTGAACAGATCTATGAGGAATTTGGGGAGGTAAAAGAAAAAAAATTATTTTAATCACTGCCTATTTCTGTTAAAATGTCTCTCTTCATCGTATTTGTCATTCAGCCTTTTAGATGCATGGCAGTTAAGAACCAGCTTTGAGAGTTCCAGTATTTTACAGATAAAGCAATGCACATCTTTCAGCTAAATTATGTTGAATTATCATGTGCTCTAATAATTATGCATTATGAACAGCAGCTCCGCTACTGTGCTTTGGCATGTTTCCAGCATCAGCAATTGCTTTAACCGGTTATTGCATTAAAGAGCCGCATAGCATTGGCACAGTGCTTTGTGGAGCCAGCGGGAGGGAGAATTATTATTCTGGGCAGGTATCCTGGCCAATTAGGATGCTCAGTCCTTGCGTGATACAAAATATGATACTTTCCCTTTTTCATTATGCGTGGAACATCCTTTTTGTGTGTCCTAATGGAGCATTTGAGCCACTCGATTCCTAAATGACAGTTTCTTGTAGAAAAGCCATTTCTCATGTCATTTAACAGCAGGAAGATGCGTATCTGTTCCACATAAGTGCCTTTGTTAGCCGGACATCCCTGTGACAACTCTGAGGAAGGCAGAGGTAGAGTGCTGGGGGAGTTGAGTGTGTTGCGTGAGAATCAGTACAGGCAGGCAGCGGAGGAGCTCTGCTCCAGTGCCAGGAGGGCTCTGAGCACTCCCTTGCCTATTGATTTGAATAAGGCAGCTGAAGTCTTGTTGGCGCTTCAAAGAAAACCACTTTGCTAGGAAGCTGTTTCTTTCTTAGAATCGTAGAAGAATCAGAGAATCATGTAGGTTGGAAAAGACCCTTGAGATCATCGAGTCCAACCATAAACCTAACACTGCCAAGTCCACCACTAAACCATGTCCCTAAGCACCACGTCTACACATCTTTTAAATACCTCCAGGGCTGGTGACTCAACCACTTCCCTGGGCAGCCTGTTCCAGCGCTTGATAACCATTTCTGTGAAGATTTTTTTCCTAATATCCAATCTAAACTTCCCCTGGTGCAACATGAGGCCATTTCCTCTCATGCTGTCACTTGTTACTTGGGAGAAGAGACTGATACCCACCTCACTGCAACCTCCTTTCAGGCAGTTATAGAGAGTGATAAGGTCTCCCCTCAGCCTCCTTTTCTCCAGGCTAAACAACTCCAGTTCCCTCAGCCGCTCCTCGTAAGACTTGTTCTCTAGACCCTTCACCAGCCTCTTACGCTCCTCTTTCAATGCCGTCCTGAAAGTGCGCTACTAGTAATGAGGAAACAAATATAGTTAAACATATCCTAATTACACCTTGTGTTTCACTGAGCGATAACTTAAAACATTGAGAATGATTAGGTGTCCCACATGCAGATTATTATCCTGTTTATTTCTCCACAGACTCCTTATAGCAGGACAACATAGATGAGAGACTACAAAAGAATGTCTCTGCCATACCACCTTGCAGAGGTGCAGGAGGAGTGCAGTTTTCCCACTCCCAAGAGCAGCAGTTTGTGGTGTGGAGACACCAATCCAGGTGTTTGCTGCCATTTCAGATGTCAGGTGTGAGGTGCAAGCCCCTGCTGCAGAAATTGTGCTTGCAAACAGAACTGTTGCCTACAGAGAGAAAAAGAAACCCAAGTCCTCTTTTGTGCATCTGTCCCTGCAAATCGTACCCCAGACACACAACAAATGGTAACTGGGTCCAAACAGGGGATTTGGAATATAGCTGAGCAACTAAGCAACAGCAAAATGAAGGCAAACTTAATTTCTATCAGCTGCTTATTCTGAAATGACCTTTTGCCACATGACAAACTTGTCCTAGAAGCATTGGTAGCGCAGGCTGATACTTGGTGTTTGAACGAGCCTTACAGGCAGTGCTAATGTGTGTATGTGGGTGTGTAAGAGTGAGAGATTTCTCTGCAGATTTACATTAAAATAAAAAAATGCAGTACAAACCAAATGGAAAGGACTAAATTTCTGCTGTGGAGCGACACTTTGTGTAGCGTAAAATAAGGCTAACCACAGTGTGGCTGCTCAGAAAGACGTAACATCCAGTGGGCTTTCAAAAAGAACTGCCATGTAGCCTTGGCCATTAGGTGTTTTATTAGATTTCTGCTGTTGGCCAAGAGATGGGGCTGTTGTCACCTGGGACATACAGAAAGGACTGGTAGTTGAATCTTATCCCACTGGTGACAGTAACATAAGGAAAAGTAGGTTGTATGCAGTGATGCAGCTTGCTATCAGCAGCGGGGTGGAGATGTATCAAGGTAAACACATGCCAATTAATAACATCAACTGTCATCTTAAACTGAAACTGCTGCCCCTCAGTCTGTGTGTGCAGTTCAGATTTGGCAGAACAAAGGTCACACATGCAAACTATCACTGTTAAATTTTCAGCTTGGCTTTGAAAGCTCGTTTGAAAGGTATGCACATATTTATGTGCATCTGTGTGCGTTTCAAAGGTACGTGCTTGTGCATCTGACATTGCAGCTTTGCCTTCTTTGGAGTAGGAATGTGAAGGCAGACACAGGTGTCAAAAGGACTTTGAGATTGCAGAAATTGGTCTAGAATATAAAAAAGACACCTTCTCAGTAGGTAGGCTGGTAACCAAAAAACCTTTTCTCAGGCTTTAGTTTTAACAAGTTATAAAAAGGGTTATGGAGGGTGATGTATTTTAGGAGAAAGCAAACCAGAAATGACTTGAAGTTGTTCTCATCCACCTGCACCTTCTTCTCCTTCCCTTTTCATTAATCCCTTCTGCAGTGGTCCATTCTGAGGAACACTTTGTACAGCAGTTTCAACAGGGCATTAATTTATATTGCCAATACACGCACACTTGAGAATCTGGATAAATAATGAAAGTTCTGACAGACCCATATCTATTGTAAGCCCTAGCTGGCGCTGTGGTATTGCGCTCTAATGGTTTCCATTTCTTCTGGGAGGTTCAGGCTGTGTATTGCATCAGACTGTCACAAGAAGAATGGTATGATAATGGAAAAGCCATGAAATGAAAAGAGCTTTGTTGTTCCTCAGCCTGAAATTCCCCTTAGCCTGCAAGCTGGACTTAGTGTGTTTCTGCATGACTAGTAAAACGGCTGATTGGGAGCCAGAAAGGTGGTGCTGGGAATGCTCAGGTGCTGAAAATGAGTGTTTAGTGATTTACACCATCTGAAAATCCTGTTAGGCTATGCTACGTGTCCTCTCCAAAATCAAAGGCCATTCCAGAAGTGGATCTGTGTCCTTTTTCTCATAGAAATCTCTTGCCTTAAAACAGTAGACAGCCTAAGTATTCTCTTTCATTGTTGCATTATAATGCCTAGGATGCGTTAAAATAATATTCATGATGGAAAATTTAGTTCCGTTTTCTTTCTCCAGCGGCTCCATTCCCCCATGTTAAATCTCATGTAGCCCCACTGAATGCAGAACTACGCAGTTATAGCTGAAACCACAACATAATCCCTGGCTTTTGTACCATTACCTGCACTTCTGCTGCAAAGGGCACTGAGCAGTGTTGGGGGATGCTCTAGTTTTTGTGCATGTAACCTGGCAGTGAGGCCTTTACCGTACCTACACTACCAGTTTGTCTTATTTTGAACTTGGAGGACTGCTTCCATTCTTTGTTGATTGCTCGTTTATATCCTAATTTTTTCTACACATATAATAGTAATATCACAGTCTCTCATTTGCTGAGAATGGGACTGAGAGGAGCTTCTTGTATACATTCCACCAGGTTGCAGTGATGCTATAACAGCCTTGGGCATGTCCACACCTTCTGAGGGACTGCAGTGCTGATTCCCCTTGGTTAATGTTGGTCCAGGTTGGCCCATCGCAGTCCTGAGGTGTGCGGAGGCAGTGGCTCAGGAAGCAGCACAGCAGAGGTGTGCTCCCTGCCTCGTGCCAGCTCTAGCAGAGGCCCAGAGCTTTCTGTACCACTCACTTTAGTGCTTTGGGGATTCACTTCTCCTGAGACAAAGCTGATGTCTCTTTGTAGTGGTGTAGCTGAGCATTCACCCTTCTGCCAGGGCCAGGTATGCTTGGGTAAGCTTGGACCCTCCAGGTAAACGCACGTGCAAGAAATGGTTTTCCCTGTTTCTTCCCTGAACTTCCCTTTTCCCATCATAGACAGGTGAATCATCTCAAACAGAAACTGTCTCTGAGGAACCTGTCACTGCTGGTGCTGCCCACCTTCATCCTGGAGCCACGCTCATTCCTTAACAAACTCTCTGATTACTACTACCATGCTGACCTGCTTTCCCAGTAAGCAGCACGCAGAGCGTGCCCAACGTGGGCGCTTTTCTTGTATTTGTGCAAACGTGTTACAGTGTTAGCTTGGTGCTGGCTGGGGTGCACTCGTCTGCTTTAAAGACTCCCAAATACCCAGGATGCTGGATTAAATGTAAATCAAGCCAGCCTCCAGCTGCAATGACCTTCTAAAGATGGGCTGCTGCCAGTGAGGGGCAAGGAAGCAAGAAAAACAGTTAAACTTCAGACAAAACATTTGCACATGCACGTTTGCCAGCATTGGCTGGAACTGATGGGGATTTAGCTCAGCCTTTGAGCATCTCGTAACAGAGCTGTGCCACCTTCTGGTGTGCTCGTGTACAGAGGGGACAGAGCAAACAGCAGAATTGTCACGCACTTCTGCCCCCAAAATCAATATAATTTTGTTGGTTGATGAACAAGAAATATCTTTTAGCATCATTGATGAGCAAGACCTGCTGGGAGCAGCAGAGTAGAAAACAGAAAATGTTATGCTTGCGGATAGGACCAGCCTTCTCAATGAGATAAGCCTGGTGTATTTTAAAACCAGTGTGTACAATAATCAAATAGCAGCACTAGTTACTCATGTTTATTCCACTGCCTCTGGGTAATATTAGAATCGTGGAATTTTCAAGACTTGTTTGTGGTACTTGTAACACCTGAAGTTAAGGAAATGGTTCTCCTCAGTGCTGAGATCTAAGAAAACTTCAAGAGGTTTGGAGCTTTTGTTAAATAAACCTCTTTGCAGTAAGGATGATCCTTCTAAATGGATTTTGCAATAATTTATCCAGGATGATTTTCAAATCTGACTAAGTGGTTGGAAATAGTAGGAACTCCATCGTTTATCTTTACTTCCCACTTCATCTTTGAGCGGGGTGGGTTTGGACAAGATGACCTTGAGAAGTCCCTTCCAACTTAAATTATTGTATGAAATCTCAAAGTACTGAAAGAGGCCATGTAGCACGTCAGCTTTGAAGATCTCTTAAGGAAGAGGGCAACAAAGAAGAACAGAGAAAAATACAATTGTCTTTGATTTTGGTGGCATAAGTAGTATTGCTTTATGCCTCAGACTGTACTATTAGCTGTAACTAAATGCTGGCATGAGTGGCAGTCCCACATTGACATACTTGAATGTCCAATCAAACATGATACAATCCAGAAATTTTAATAGGCTTTTTACAGGAGTGCAGGGCAAGGGGTGCCACTTTTTAAGGATTTCTCTGTGTGTTGTATGATGTACATTACTAAAAAACCATAATGTTTGCTGCCAGACACCTTTTTCACTTGCAGCAGCACAGAAGTTACTTCCCTTTAGCACCGGGGAAATACTATTGAAATTAATGTTATTATACTGGTATGAAATTAATGTGATGTATGAACAGTATAAAGAGCATATTGTATTCTGTCCTGCAGGGCTGTCCTTGAAGATGATCCATACAGTCGAATGAAGCAAGTTTTGAGGTGGTATCTGTCTGGCTTCTATAAGAAGCCAAAGGTAAAAGAATGCATGAAGTTGGGGTTGTAACGGGCATTGAAATCTTCTGCTATGGTTGTGTCTTTCTTTATTGCCTTTCCTTTGGCATTTTATCTCTTCTCTTGTTTAGAAGCTTTGACCATTACTTTTAAAACTGAAGTTGCATTTGGTTTCAGAGTAGATATTGAGTGCAAAATAGTGTTGATCAACCTCAGAGCCTTTGCACTGGGCAGTTAGAAAGCAAAACTAGTCATCAACAAATAACATGTCCTCGGATGCAAGATTTTTCCCTTCACTGAAAGCAGGTTTCCATTTTCTTTTCAGGCCTATTAGTGCCATAGTGCCATGTTTCCACATCAGTATGCACCTGCTGCATATGGTAGCAGAAACGATAAAGTTTGATCATTTTGTAAAGTTTTGATCAGGCAGTATCAAAGATTAAGTTGGTGAGAATAGCAGATGAATCCATGGCTCAGATTAAAAGATTAGATTAGGAGGATATATGTAACCAGTTCTTTAGTTTGGATTCTTGTGATTGACTTAGTTTAAAACATCGGGGAGAAAATCATTGTTGTTTTGTGGCCATCTCTGTAGAGTTGCATTGCAAATCTTCATTTGTAGCAGGTTTTGATTACTTTGTTTTTCAGGGAATAAAAAAGCCATACAACCCTATTCTGGGAGAGACGTTTCGCTGCTGTTGGTTTCACCCTCAGACGAACAGTCACACGTTTTACATAGCAGAACAGGTAAGTTGCTTTATTTGGATGCTCAGGTGTTGCAAACAGCAGCCTGCTTGTACCTCCGTGCATAGGAACACGCTCCTCATCTCACCCTAGCAGAGGAACTTTAAGTTTTGTGTAAACATCCAGAGCGGGACATGGGGTAAACTAGTTGGTGATCTTTTTTCTTTCTACATTTACAGAAATTATATGAGCTTTAGTGGGCACTCAGGACTATAAAAGCAGGTCTCCCATGTATAACACGAGCCTCTTTCAGTAAAGACCTTTTCCATGGGATTCTGCCCTAGTTTTCTTATTGTTAATAAAATGTGGTTTGTGTTGCCTCTGTCAAAAGGGGCTTAACACACATAACCAAATCCTACCTTTCTTTATTTCTAAACTTTCTATAATGATTTTAAGAGGAGTAAATTGAGGGATTATCTTCATGTCTTTGGGGATAAAGTAAACTGGCCTGACAAAATTTAGTTTGAAGTTTACAGTGTAAATAAAGGGATCTAAGGACTGTATGGACTTTGGTACAGGGACTCCCTGTTTCACATACACTTTCTTTATGTAATCAAATAAGTTTTGTTTTGTTTTGTTTTATTTCAGCCACTGCATCCATTTTATGGAAGTTATTCAGATGCTGCCAAAAAGTTTTGCACTGTCATTTATTGTGTTGAAAATCTGGCAGTGTACCTGTTGGCCTAAAGTGATCTCAAGTGCGCAAGGACAAGAAAATATGGGGTGGGGGAGAAAGTTTACATATATAACGGTCTCATATATAATGTTTCCTCCTTTAACATAGAGGTTAATGGTACGGATGGGGCTCAGTCCTGCGGCCTCCCTCTTGCACTTTCCCTAGAGCAGGTGTAACACTGTGTGAGGTTGTATATGCACCCACTGCTCTGCTTAGTCTGTAAAGACTGCTGTAAATGACTCATGCCTATTTTTTTTCTAGGTCTCCCATCATCCGCCAGTGTCAGCTTTTCATGTCAGCAATAGGAAGGATGGATTCTGCATTACTGGCAGCATTCTAGCTAGGTCCAAGTTTTATGGTAAGGCATTAAGCCTAGGCATCTTCCAGGTGACATTGTGGCATTGGGTTTGGTTTGTTTTTCAATCCCTTTTGAGTGTGTTGAGAGTTAAGAACAAAGAAATGCTTAAGAGATCTACCATCAGGACACCCTAATTCCTTGTCTTGGCTCTCCTGGGTTTTCCCCATTTCCACCATCTCAGTGGGAGATCACACTGATGTTAAAAAAAAAAAAAAAAAAAAAAAAAAAAAAAAAAAAGGATAGAAAAATTGAGAGCTTTAAAAATCTGGTTTTCAGAAAGCAAAGTTTCCTGAGAATGTATGGACAATTGGTTGTCAGATTATTTTGCAGATGCTCACAGGTGAGTCATTTTATAACTATCTGATCATCCAATTGACTTTTGCAGAAGTCTCTGTATAAATGTAGTCATTTATCTAGCTCCCAGATTTCTGAGACTTGAACCCTAGAGTTTCAAAATGGCCTCAAATCTTTTAATAGCGATGGAGACAGCACAACTGCAGGCTCTGAAATGGTGTTGCTATTTGAAATAGTTTTTTTGTTTAGACAAACACCTCTTAAATACTATCCTCTGGTAAATGAATTTGTCAAAACACTTGTAAATAGTCCTTGGTGTCCTTCTGGCAATTTTATTTGTTATTTGGAATCATACACAGTCAGAAAAGCTGTGAGAACAGAAGGACATGAAAAACTTCTAAGCATCAGAACTGCTTTCTGCATCGCACTAATGACTTATTTAATCTACTGCCCTTTGTGCAACAGGGGCTAAATGCCAGAGCAAATATGAGCTGTACAGCAGAGAGTTTATTAAAACTGTCTGCCTCCAAAGAGTAAATGATTTGCAGGGCCCTGAATTCTTAGCGTTTCATATCTCTTCTTTCATTAGTGACCTACATTTAAATGGAAATGTTTTTCTGAAGTAGGATGAGTGACCAAGTATAACATGCATTTTTTAATATATATCTATTTGTTCTTTTAAACTCTAGGTAACTCACTTTCTGCACTGTTGGATGGGAAAGCAAAGCTTATGTTTCTAAACAGGGGGGAAGATTATATAATTACTATGCCATACGCCCACTGTAAAGGTAAGTTATGACTGTTCAAATAGGAAGCAAACAGAAAGAATAATATAATGGTATCTTACTGACTAACTTTACACTGGCTTTCTTCCCTCTTGAATACTTGGCACCACAAGGACTGGTAATTCCAGGGAGCAGTTGCTCCACACAGGAGTAAAAGCGCTCAGCGGAAGACTGGTAATCTTCATTGGAGTCTTTTTGATTTGTCTCTGCAGAGCTGAGGACAGAATTAGGCCCATCTAAATTAGTTTTAACACTGTAAAAACAAAAAAATACTGCATATATGCACTGCAGATAAAGTGAAGATGAAAAGAATACGAGCACATTTCTGGGCTTCTGAGGATAAAAAGTTTTTCTAATGCTAACACTGAAATTGTTTAATATATTTTGTGGCTTTTTGAGATAAAGGAAATTCCTAACTTCTCTTCTGATTTCTTTTTTACTCTAATCATGATATTCCTCAGTGCATGAGCTCCCTCAGTGAGGCTGATACCTGTTACCGTGTGGCTTTGCTCTGTTGAGCTGAATGTGCACTGAAGGCAGAGGATGGCTGCTGATTCTCTGCTGTAACTTTGCACTTCTCCTTAGGAAGCTGAGCGTCAGTGGCATTTCAACCACAGTGATAAAATCACTCCAGCAGCAGTTTGATCCAATTTTCTTTTTCAAATATTTTTTTGTTTTGGCATGTTGACCTGTAAATTAATATTTATGGAGGATCTAGCTGCCTGAAAACAGTAACTTCTGTAAATCACGCCCTCTGTGAACTATTCCTGTGCATAAATCTTTCTTATGTCAATTTTTCTTTTTCTGCAAATGACCTTTTCAGAAAATGGTAAGTGTGTGTAAAAAGGAGTCCCGTACATGACTGCTAGTCTCCCAGATTCAGCTGAATCCCATTACAGCTTTTCTCTGCCCCATCCAACCTGTGAGAAGCAACTGGGTCTGTTTAAGCACTAGTATAAATGAAGTTGGTGGGCACAACTTTATTTTTCCTTTTCCACTTTCAGCTTACCACAGATGCACAATCAGCACCTGTGAGTCAAGCTATTTCCTAGCTTGTGTAATAAATCGGGAATATGGACTCAGGGGAGGATTATTCATGCTTATATTTAAGAGCCATTTCCTTGAAACTTTGGTTTCTGTCTTTTCAAAACTTTAAGCCAAGTAGTGAATTTGACAGCGTGTCAGCAAGAGCCAGTTTGAGTTGAGAAAGCAGATCACTTCCATTGGGGCCTCTCTTATGTCTCTTTTTTCCCTTTCAGGACTTTTATACGGTACCATGACAATGGAGCTTGGAGGGAAAGTTACCATCGACTGTGAGAAAACTAACCACAGGGCAGAACTGGAATTCAAGCTAAAGGTAAGACACATTGAGGCCCCCATTTTGAATGGGTCTCAGGCTTGCCTATGTGCTCCAGGCAAGGTTTGACCATACACTCCAGATCATTTATGTACCAGCAATGTGTGCATGCACCAAGGGCTGGCCTACCCAGACAGGAGGCATTGTCCTGAAGTCAATTTTGCCTAGTGTAACTCCATTTGAATCCAGGAAGCCTGAGTTTTACACATGACTTGTTCGCTGCTAGCCAGCTGGCTACTGGCCAGACTCTGTTCTGAATGTTTGGCTTCTGTTTAGGAAGCTACAGTTATTTTTGCTTGCAAAATATGGCGAGGTGTACAAAGTGCTTTAAAGCAAATTAGGATGTGGATCTTCAGTGTAGCTCTCCAGTAGATACCACATACGTACTCTTACCTTGCAGGTGTTGCAATGAACTGTACCTTGTGTTTCTCAAGGCTACAGGACTCTGCCTTAACGGTAGGGTAAGAGTCCATTTTCAGGCAGATAATTTTGGGTAGCTATCACGCTGACAAGCTGCACTTGTACTGACTTGTTCATGTAGCTATTCCCTCCCCTAGAAAGCCTGGTGGTGCAAATTTATGGTATGCACATAAAATGGAGACATCTTTGAGCATTCCTGTAGTTATATGTGTTAAAATTTGGGAGGGAAGTGATGACCTGTAACTTTTTTTGGACAGTTAACTTGCTTTTTAAGGGGCATCCATTTCTCTTCTGTTCCAACAAACAATTTCTTGCCTGGGCATAAAATGAAAGATGGATAACTGAGAGCCTGAAGGACTTTAGAGCTGCAGCCTTAGCCAGCATAAATGTGAGAGATCACTGGAGTTAGGGGAGTCTTTTGCAGACTGCATTTTTCTGGGGGCAATGATAATTTTCTGTCTTTATTTGCCCTTACTAAGTGAACTCTTGCCCCGTGTACTTCTTTAACATTTGCATGTACTTGTCTTTAAAGCCTGTTCTTCCCGTAGGCCTGACGTACTATGTTGAGGCCAATGGAGTATTTCCCTGACTTCAGTCAGTGTCATCTCAAACCTACAAACACTTCAGAGCTTAAAATGCAAACCCATCTTTTCTGGCTTGAAAACTACATGTTTACTCCCAACATGACTCAGAAAGGTCCCTGTGGCTTAATTACATCCTCTGCTTTGAATATTTCTTAGCCACCTTTTTTAGTAGAATTGTGAGAAGTTAAAGGTAAACCCCATAACTTTATTAATTTGGATATGTACCAATTCTCTGCTGGATTGCATACATTGATTCTGGAGGTACTTATGATTTGGTTTTCCATGGGTGTTGTGAGAAATTTGGTTTTATATTGTTATTTAAAAAAAAAAAAAGTTCCTCTGCACAAACTGCACAAACATTATTTGAAAGTAACTGCTCAAATGTCTGAAGAAATGTTGTGTGGTATGAATGGAAGAGCTGGTCACTCTATCACTGCTGTTTCCTGTGTTTGGCAGGCAGGAGGTGAGGGGAATTTTCCATTGTTCTGAGAATCTTTTCCTTGACTCTGGAAATACCCTTTTTCTTTCTTTCTTTTTTTTTTTTTTTTATTGTTTGCTGCTGACGAGAGCTTCTTCACACTAGAGACTTCACGCAGATGCAGCCATCAGCAGTGCCACACTGCTGTTGCTGTCCCATAAGCAGGAAAAGTCACCAACTGCATTAGTGCTGATTAGTGCTGTTCCTTTTCTTTGGACAAGGCTGAAAGTATAAGGCTGCAAACTGTGATGTGATTCTGGACAATGGGCAGGACTTGCTCACACACACTTTTCCCAATGTCTAACTGACAGTAAATGTATTTGCAATGAAGGCAAAGCCTTGCACTGCTGAATGTTAATGCACCTGAAGGCTTATCTCCCTTCCTGCAGCTACTACAGTGATTCTGATATTGCAAACAAAAGGAGGAGGGCACAATGCTGTGTTAGAATTCATTCTGCCTGTCCCCAGAAATAGTGGAAATCAAGCAGGTTGCACTTTCCTTCCCTCCTGCTGCATCATTGTGTTTGGCTCCCTTCCAGTTCTCACTAGACTGATCATATTTTCTATTTCTATTCTCCCCTGACAGCCCTTCTTCGGTGGCAGCGCAAGCATTAATCAAATCTCTGGGAAGATTAAATCAGGAGAAGAAGTGTTAGCAAGTCTCAATGGACACTGGGTAACAAACGATAATCGAAGTTGCTGACAGTTTAAGTGTGCGTGGCAGGACTGGCAGTCCCTGGCAGGCTCCCTGTGCTGTAGTGGGGCCTGTGGAGAGCCCCTGTCCTGCCTCTTCCCGCGATCCCCAGGGAGTGCAGGCGAGAGGAGCTTTCCGGGCCACACCTCTCAAGGTCATTTACACTTCCGTAGTCCCATCCACCTGCAGTGCAAGTAACACTTGCACTTCCAGAGCCTGGGCCAAAGCTGGGACCAGTGAGGTGCATTTCCATTGAAGCCAGTGGCTCTGTATTTAGGGTGCCAGGCTTAGGACAAACACTGACGGCAGGAGACATAGTGTGTCTTATGTGTGATTGTGAAAATCATGAGGCTTCCTTTTGCCTTGTGTTCAATACTTCCCCAGCCATGGCAGTGTCAGGGAAGAACTTCATGGGGTTTTAAATTCATTATTTTCGCAGCAAGCCTTTATGATAGAAGATGGTTATTCCTCTGTTCATGAGATGAAGGACCAAGAGACAGATTCTGTGAGGGTCTATCTGTATGGGCAGCTCAGAACAGTCAGCAGAGCAGCTAGCCCCTTTGCACACCTAGTAGCCACAAATGAATGACTCAAAGACATCCTTAAGCCAAAATTCAGCAAGAATAAAGTTGCATGGTGAAGGATGTAGACTAGAGTTTTGGTTGGGAACTACGGGTAACCAAGGCAAAACCAGTGAGCCCTGGCTTTGGGCTGGACACTTAGGTATTTACCTTGGCTACATTTAAAAATCTACATTTTCATTATATTTGACCTATGCTCCCTTTCCAGTCCATAGAAATTGTCACTCCTGAGACAAGATTTGTTTCATCCTAAAGGAGGTATTGAAAGTAGGTCAGGTGAAATGTGCATGGATAAAGCCTGTTCTATAGTGAGATCCTAACCACAGTGTAGCCTTTGGTATTCGACTCCTCCCCTCAGGCAATCTATCTTTTTGCATAAAGTGCTAATGACCATTTTGAAATTGGGAGATTTGCCCTTTCTAGCTGTATACAAGGAGATTTGCTCCCTGTGCCTGGGTAGCTTTTCCATTCTGAGCTCCCTTTGCTGCAGGATGAGCCTTGGCAATTGTGGGTTGTGCTGGACTGTGGAGTACCTTGTCTGCACTGGGTCCTGCAAACACCATGCGTGAGAGTGTGTAATCAAGTGGTGTCCCCTGGGGCGCGGAGCCACATGGTTGCGTGTTGCTCAGTTTCCAGCCTTCCGTGTTTGGGTTTTATCAGCCTGAAAATAATTTATTCCTCCCCTGTTCTTTGTGCTGGTTATTTGTGGTGCGCAAAATTAGAATGATGTATAAAAGAAGTTAAATGGCTTTGAAAGGGTGGCTCCATAAGCTGCTGTTTGCAGTTGCATGCTGTGAATAGGGTAGCTGCTGTGCAGCGGTAGGGATGTTGTTTGTTCTCCTCCCTCCCTGCTGAGAGTATTGGCCTGCTCTCCTGAGCCCTGCAGGCTTTTCTCTGGCACCGTCTGGTTTCCTGACAGAAACCCTCTCAGCTGAAAGGCTAATTCTCTGCCTCAGGACCTGAAAACCCACCTGAATAAAGAAGGGAAGCAAATCCCAACGCTTCTCAGCCCCATGATCAAAGCAGCAGCTGAGGGATTGTATGTATGCTCCTTAGATGTGCAGGTATGATGTTTGGTAATGCCTGCCTGCCTCTTCCCATCCATAGCTGGGAGGCTTTTGGGGACCTGAGATCTGTCCTGGAACTGGCACCTCAGGACATGGCAGAGGAGACTTTGAGGAAGGATGAGAGTCCCTTGGGGCTGAAGGAGTTTCACAGCTGAAGATGTGGAAAGTGGACTTTGAGACATGCATCAAGGGACTGTGTCAGGGGAAGAAATGCAGCAGCTGGGATGCATAGAAATTAGGCAGTGACAGACAAAGCCAGTAGCCATGACCTAAATAAGGTTTGCATGATACTCATACCATGTCGAGGCAGCTGAGTGGCACCAATACACATACTGTTCAGCAGCTGTAATCGTCTGATTCATTCCACTTGCAGTCAGCATCGTGCTGTTCACTATATGCTCTGTAAACTACCCCGTCTGGCTCTGTGGCATTGCTGCATCTGTGAGCAAGGCTGGGAAGCAGCTTAGTTAAGCAGGGACACAGCTATATTGTCTAGCCAGAGAAGGGCTGCAACCAAGGTTGGTTGCCAAGTAAATTGGCAAGGAATAAGGATGAAAGACCCCTGGCATTTTGAAGTGCTAAATGAAAGTTAGGAGCAATAATAGAAAAAGGTGGCTAAAGAGAAAAAAAAAAAAAAAAAAGAAAGAGTATCTCAGCTTTAGCTCTTCTTTTTAGAGAGGATAGTATTTCAGCATTGAGGAATAGAAGAAAGACTGGGAAAGGAGCTAGGGATCTTGTTTGTATGTGCTGGGTGGTACCTGGGAGGAACACTGGGGAAAGTAGAGCATCTTAGGGCTTCTGTGGGTACCCTTGTCTAGGAACAAGACTAACAAAAGGGACCAGGTCCCTTTCTAATTCTTCTCTGATTAATCCAGCCAGTGTTTCCGGGAGTGCCTCGCTTCATTCATTTTAGAAACTTTCAGGAAGTTTTCAGTGAGATTTAATGGGGTAGAGGAAGAAAGAAGCCTTCTAACCAAGCCCTATGCCTGATCATCATCCGGAAGCAGCTTCCATTTGTTAGGATTATTTTCTGCCTTGTGTTTCTGATTGTCATTAACCTTTTCACTTAATTTTCCTTCTCAGGATGGGGAAGTGCATATAAATGAGTTGAAAAACGGGAATGCAGAAATGTTCTGGAACCCGACCAGTGAAGTACGAAGACAGAGACTGAAGCGCCATATCGTGCTCTTTGAGGAGCAGACAGACTTTGAGTCAGAGAGGTAAAGAGCTCTGGGAACATCTCGCTGCTGCTTCCCTGCTGGAAGCAGAGCTCTGATCCAAAGGCTCCAATTCCTCAGTGCTGTCCTGGAGAGGCAGTGACCCACTTTGCCTGCACGTATTACCCAGCCATTTACCTGTTTTTTCCAGTCTGCTAGCTCTGGAGTATTTCCATGAGGTATAGCTCTGAAATAACTATGGAGCTGGGCTGAGAAATAGTGAAGGCTACATTTTATCTGCTAAAGTAACAACTGTCCCTGAGCTCCAGACATCATGAACAGAGTCTCTGTAACTTCTGGAACATATTATGGAAGGGCAAGATGTCAATCTGAGGTCGAATGTCTTGTTAAGAAGAGTTGTTTCAACCACAAGCTCTTAAACTAGATGCAGGAATCATGTGGAAAGTCCTGGCATGAGCAGAGCAGTAGTTTGAACCACATAACAGGATTGTATGAGAGAATGTAATTAAACAGATGTTTAACCCTGCCTCAATCTCAGTTGAGATCTCCAGTGAAGTCTGCACCATTTTTTTTAGGTTAATCTGGATTAGCTAAAAATATAGTCCTGGCAGAGGATTTAGGAAATGGAAGGAATGACTACCTGATGCAATGAGCATCCCCGAGCCAGTTCTTGAGCAAGAAGAACTAGAGCAACATCACATGGTGCTGGCTTCAAACCAACTAGTCCTGCCATCTCACCAATACGGTTAGCCAGTACCAGCTAACATCCCAAACCAGTACATGCAGTTTGCTGGCTGGCTCTGCGTTATATTGACCACTTCCCTGTGACCATCGAATTTTGTTGTTGCATGACATCACACTAAGAAAATTCACCTTTTTATGGGTAAAGAAAAGGATCGCACAAAAATAAAAACACATCAACATTTAGTTTGTTTTGGACCGCAGTGGATGTTATGGGCAATAAAATCTGTATTTGTAACTTGCAGTCATGCAATTGCCATTGTCACAGAGTGGAGCAGACTGCAGCACATTTCTCTATTAATCTTCTGAAGAAGATTCTTTTAAAGAAGAAGAGAAATTTCGGTCTTGCGGACAAAGAATCTCCATTTCTGTGTTTACCAGGGTACTGCCAGAGTTGACTCCCTTTGCTACATCAGAGATTAATAATGATGCATGCATCCAGTGGAAGGAGGCAAAAGGAAAAATTCTAGAGATCCCTAACAGACATTCCACTGAGCTCCTTATTATGCTGACAGTTGCATGAATAAATTACCATCTAATCCAGGTTATGTTCTGCCTGAATTGCTTAGACTTTCCTGCAGTGCTAAAAATCACCTATTTTCACAAACGCTGGAGAGTCTCTGAAGCTCATACCATTATGCATCTCACCATGGAGGGTCTCATTGTCTGACACATGCAGCTCTTAAGGGAGTAATTTGTCCTTGTCAAGCAATTTTGTGCATGTCCCTCTGAGGTTTTTAGAATTGGAGGACTCGCTCTTTACACGACTGCATTCCCTAGGACTGACTCTGTACACCACTGCGTTATTTTCTCAGGCCGTTATTTTCACTTCTCCCTCCCCCACCCCCATCACTTTGAGTTTCAACTGAGTTTCCTTCCTTTGTTTCTGGGAGAAAAGATTCATACACAGGAAAATGGGAGTGACGTGTCAAAAAGGACAGGAAAGTGTTCCTCTGCCTTCAGTTAATTGTCTAAGACGCTGCTTTTTTGGAAGTCTTGTGCTAATGTATGGTGATAAAAATATAATGAAAACATCAGTATCCCTTTTAAATTAAGAGCTTCACAGCAAGCTCCAAATTAAATGCAGCAATGTATTCGTCTTCTAAATGGAGAACTGGTGTTTTGTGGAGCTGGGAATACTGGAACAGCGTAGATCTCCAGTCCCTATTTTAACTGCTAAACCACTCGCTAATGTTTTGGAAGGGCTAGTTGCTAATCTCAGAAGTATTTCCAATCTGAAATGAAGATTGGAGTGCTCTGATTAGAGGAACTGTGGAGAGGTCTATCACAGCTTGGCTACAGAAAAAAAAAGGTAATGATTTTTCTCTCATAAAAGGCAGATCCTCTCCTCTGGGCAGAAGTTCAGTGAGACATCATGTGACAGATCACGTATCTTTTGGCAGCTGAAAACAAGTGCGAGTGAAAGCCTGTGTTCATGCTTGCAGTTTGTGACACAAGTACATACCCATTTCTTGCAGATTGAATCAGCTTCTTACAGATCTGGTTGCTAATCCTATATAGAAGTACAATGTTGCATGTGCAGCTGCAAGCCGTGCACATGAATTTGTTTTCCAATGCTTCTAAACTTCAAATAGAAAGCCTTTGTTTCAGAGACAGACATTAACACAAAAGCTTCTAAACATAAATGATTGAAAGGGCAAGGAAGATAACAGATTCTCTGTTATACATCAGTCACCTGCAAAAAGACCACTGACCTCAATGAAGTGAGCATAACTATCTTATAACTCACACAGAAAGCACTGAAGATTTTCATGAATATTGTAGGCGATGTTATGTAAGGGAAAGTTCCCCTGTTCTTCAGTAGATCGTTGGATGCAGCATTCAGTGTTGATGTTCTTAAAATGTTCCTTTAATTTACAAGCCAAAACTGAGGCTGAGCAATCCTGTTAAAATTCCTCTGGAGTATCAATAGACCATGAAAGTGCTCTGAGGTTCCAGCTGGCAAAATGCATTGTTGGTTTTAAGGTGGTTTAACTTTCTTCCCTGTTTATTTCTAGGCTTTGGCAGCACGTTACCAGTGCAATAAACAAGGGCGATCAACACAAGGCAACACAGGAAAAATTTGTGCTGGAAGAGGAGCAGAGGAATGC